TACCATCTCAAAAGTTGAATTGTATTTTACTTATTTTCTTTAGATTTAAATTTATTTATAAAAATTCATATAATAAATATCGATAATGATTTTTAAAGACCCTATTTGCGTGTAGAGGATTAAACTTTATTCGTATAGCATTAGCGGAGTGTAATTATGTAATGCAACAAGCAAAACAATAATCTTATTATTTTTCATGTCAAAATCATACATCAATACTGTCGCGTCGATAAAACCGTAATCGTAATATGACTCAGTCTGTGAATTATCTTTCGAATACCAAGCTACATATTCTGATTCCTATCATATCTGCTTTCTGCTTATTTAAAATCATTCACTGGCACTGGATCGCAGAGAACGGCGCTATTGTAAATAATCTTTATTTAGCAAAGCGGTCTGCGAAGGGTCGTAACCGACCGTCATCCCGACTCTTTTCGTCTTCAAAGCGCATAACCGCCGCGCATCCTCCGCATGCTAACGCGGCTGTTGAACTCCCCGGTCCCTCTTCACACACATACACACACACACACACACACACACACACATATATATATATATATGCACGTATATATATTTATTTAAAAGCAATAATTATATATATATATATATATATATATATATAATTATCGCTTTTAAACTGTTCGACGCAACAGCCCCGTATATCGCTAATGTACAATATTTACATACATTCCGACGAGAGATATTCCATTCCAGAAGATCTTACGAGAGAGACATTTCAGTGCATCCTCCGTAGACTGTACATGCACTGTACAGGATTCCTCCCTTTCCTTTGATAGGACTCTCCCAAAAGCGCGACGAGATCCGGCGCGACGTAACGACAGACCTCCGATTTTTTTACAACGACGCGGATGTTGAAATAACGGGCGAGAGATCCTAGTTGTTCCGCGCGCGGTCGTCGAAACCGCCGCACTTCCTTTGCTTCCCGCCGTGGGTGATAGTGTCAGGCGCAGGATGACGAATGTGTAATGTCGCGTCGCTAATTTTCCCGGGAATATGCATGCGAGTTCGGCCAGCGTGACGATACCGAAGTCCCGTCTTGCGGTTATGGCGAACTGACAGTTTCTGATGGTTTAACGTGCCGTTAATGTCGCGATGGAATATAAAAATTATAATGAACGAGCGACTCTCACTTATTCCCACGTGGCAGGTTGAAAAGTAACATTGAAAAGAAATACTCGTTATTATTGTAGTCCCATCTAGACCAAATTTTATTTAGACAAACCCATAGTGCAGTGTACTTCATAATGTATGGCTTCAACTAATATAAGATCTATCTCGCAATTATTATTTACTGAAAATTATTCATTATACTATTCATTATACTTATAAGCTGTGACTCGGAAAACAATAATACATTAGACAATACTTTAGAAAATCACGATACTTTACAATCACTGGCAAACGTAAAGCGTTTCACGTTACCTGTGCATGTCTATAGACTAAATGCTAATATTTGCATGTACTCGGCAGAATTTTACCATCATTCGCGGAACAACAAGAATTACGAGATATTCATGATCCTAGAATGAATAAACATACATACATAAATCCCCGCGATAGTAATCGTTCTCTGTATTTATCGATAATCGACGTCGCATTACGATGGGAAAGTACTTTAATTTTGAATGGAATTTGCGGAAAAAATCAAATTATTAATTGTCAGAAAGTTGTTGACTTATATAATAACTTAATCACAATAAAGACTCCCGAAGTTTGAAAACCAATAATAAAAACATGTAGGCGTTAGAAGTGAAAACGCAGAAAACGATGCATAACGCCTACTTGTTTTATTATTGTATAATAACGTTGCTTAGATGAGACCATTTCAAAATGTAAATTAATATTTTTTTTTGTCTTTTGTCGTTGAATCGCACAGATGTACGTTTATCCGCAGATCTTTATTAATTAATTATTGCGAGAATTACGAAATGGTACAGGATGTTTTTTATTCAGTTCAATTCATTCCATGAGTAGCGTTACACTTATTATCAGACACCCTGTATATCCTGAGATATTGCATACATATTTCTTAATGTTAATTTCATTTTCATTAAAACACATTGCACCCTTCAATTAATATCAGGGTTGGGTAAGTTAACTTTTTTTTTTAACTAAGTTAAGTTAAAGTTAACAGCCTTAAAAATTTAACTTAATTAAAATGCAAGTTAATCCATAATAAAATTAATTGAATTAAAAGTTAAGACAGAGTTAATAAAAAAAGTAATTAAAAAGTTAAAAGTTAAATTTTCGAACAATCAAAAAAAAAAAGAAAAAGTTTGATTATTTTACATAATTTTTCCTTTCTCACAGCTTATTTATTAAAGAATCTGGTTGTTTTTTTTGTTCACAAATAACGACGATACAATATAAAATTACTTATTAGCCTCTCGCATTGTATCTAAAGATTGACTTCAAAAAAATCAAATTAAAAGTTAATAGTTACCGATAAAATGTAACTAAATTAAATTAAAAAGTTAAGAGTCTAAAATGCAACTAAGTTAAAATTAATTAACTTTTTAACTTTTTAACTTAACTTTTATCTTTTAACTCCCAACTCCTAACTTAGCACTCCCAACCCTGATTAATATATATATATTAGGTGTTGGAATTAATTCGTAGCGTTTTACAAGTGATGGGAAGTACTTTCATTAATGTATTTTTTAATGCTCATGTGAAATAAATAATATTCTTTCATTAAAAAACGCTACGAATTAATTCCAACACCTAATATATATATATATATTATATATAAAATTTTCGAATTTTCATGATAAAAGAATACTGAGAATAATCGATAGACATTTGACAAATGGTTCGTTTTCCAGAACGTTTGTAATCTGCATTTCCGCGATCGTAAAATTGCATTTTCCCGGAAGAAAATCCGACATCATTCAACACGCTTGGATACCGTCCAAGAATCGCCTCCAACTAATACTTTAAACTTCAACCGAGTGACGTGTTACTCCGGGATAGCTCATTGAGCGTGATGAATCACATTCCTTTACCGTAGACAGGTACTACTACACATCGAAACATCATGCGTTTCCACGTATCTCTGAGAAATTGTAATCTTCCTCCGTTCATATAAATCCATGGCGTATCGCGTGCGCGATCATTCAGTAACTCGAACGAGCCACCGTATACATCGGCTCCAGCGCGGGCGCGCGTCTCGTCCTTCCGAAACACGATTCACGAGACCCTGGGTCTTCGAAACAGCGGCGTGCCTCCCTTTCTCTCCCAGCCAGCGCTTCCCAAACTGGGGTTCCGCGGGATGACGAAAAATTACACGTTCTCCGCCACTTGTAAAGCCTATTTAAACGACGCGCCGTCCGCTTTAGGGATCACTTACTGCGGCCATAAATATGTAAGTATATACGGGCGAATATCGACTCTGTTTGCTCTTCAGTATTATGAGTTTGTTTTCTCTTTCTCTCACTCTTTTTAGTCAGTTTTTTTACTTGTTTTGATTAGAACATAATGTAAGAAGAATGCAGTATTTAACAGAGGAATATATTTAAAAAAATAAATATTTTTCTAAAATTTATTAATATTAAATAAGTTTCAAACATGAGATTTATAAATGAAGTTCTTTTGTATATTTGAAGCTTACTTAATATTAATAATCTTTGGAAAATATTATTTTTCAAAAATAAAACGAAAGAGAATTTATTAATTTCTTCTGATGTAAATATTTTTACACATAAATTCTGGTAGATATCTAAATCTGGTAGATAAATTTCTTTTGTAATTTAATTTATAAATACATTACCAAAAGAAATTACATTTCATATAATGTTGTTCAACATATGTATATAGTTTTATTGCTTTTACATATATATATATATATATTTATAATTAAATATATATATATGCATAATATATATATATATAATTTTGTTGCTTATATAGTATTTTTTATCTACTTTATGTATTATTTATATCTACTTTATAATACGTATAAAATATGTATAGTGACAGTTTGACATAAATTAAAGATCCTGGATCGATCATGCGCAGGCTTCAACCGGTTTCCTACGCGTCAGTGTGAATTACAACCAAAATTACGATACTATTGATGTAACGAATACGTAACAATAATTACAAATTACCGATTAGATTTGGTGCCTATAATTCATTAACCGCGAAAGATTGAAAATATCGTCTCTATCGATTACACGAGTCCGCATTCACTCGCGAAAGGCGTATATCTATAAATAGCATCATGTGTCAACACAATTCTCCTCGTGTAATTCAAGGGAACAGAAATCTGCAACATTTAAATACATTTATCCTGATATTAAATTAAGCTCTTCAGAAAATTTAAACCGAGATATATATATGTATACCAAAGAGGGGACTCGATATCTTCCATTTTTCTAATATATTAATAATAAACTTTGTAAAAACTTAATATCTCAACAGTGCAAAATGACAGTCTGTACAATCAACGAAGAGTATAGCACTTACGAAATATTTTATTCAACTTGATTGGAACTAACAATAATCTTAGGATCGAGGTATCAACATAAAATCGTATCCACTCAAAGTACAAGTAAATTCAAAGCTTCAAAGTTCGAGTTATCTTCGCAGTTATCCCCTCTTTCCTTCCCTTGTTTTTTGGAACAACGGAGTGCGCTTATTCTTCGGTAATCCGATCTTGAGCTGGGAAATCGGACGGCAGCTGTAGAAAGAGAAAGAAAGAGAGAGAGAGACAGAGAGAGAGAGAGAGAGAGAGAGAAAGGCCACTGCATAGAAAACGCAGCCGCGAACAATCCCTTCGGAAACCGGCCAACCCGCTCGAGGGCCCGCCGTCAACTGATCGAATCCGTTGAGACCGGCGTGGCGAGACTCGGTTGTTCTACAGCCTGACCCACAAGCACAGTCTGTGTCGGATCTCATGCCGCCTGAACGCCGGATACAGCTTGACGATTCGTCGGCCGCGCGGCGACCATGGTTGTGAGTGGCGAACGGACTGATGTGTGCGTGACGTGTCGTCGCCTCCTGTGTGCAGCTCATAACCCCGTTGTGTCTCGCGCGAGTGCTTACGAGCGAGTGCGTACGCCGGGGCATTCGTTAATACCGTTTCCGGCGTGCGCCTGGGTCGTGCCGATATACAGTTTCGGTTGTGTTGTCTGTCTTTATTGTATCTCTCGCGCGCGGCGTCCATCTATCCATCCGTCCAACTTTTATCGTTCTCTGTCTTCTGCGTGCGCTCGTTATTATCTTCACCATCATCTTCATCTTCATCCTCTTCTTCTTCTTCTTCTTTTTCTTCTTCTTCTTCTGTGGAGTATAGACGCAGCGTCACGGGTTTCCGCTGTTTCGCTCCTCTCGCAGGAGGTCAGCACCTCAGCGTTGGTAGGTAGGTAAGTGCGGAATGCGGGACTTTGGGGTTGCTGGAACGTGAAAGAGGACTTTCAAGAGGAAAAGAGAAGGAGTAAGAAAAAGAGAAAGACAGATTGTGCTTCCCATTACCTCTCGAAAGAAGAGCTCACGGTGAAATATGAGCGGCCGGTTTCGGTAGTTTTCTTCTCTTTGCGTTGGCGGCCAACGCGGGGGATCCCACAGTGTACCTATCTCGCGTGTGAAGCCACCGGTACCGAAATTCGCGCAACGATTGGACGAGCTGATTCGTGGCGAATGTTCGCCAATCGCTTCTCCATGGGACTCCAATGAAAAATCGCGCATGAGAGTCGCAGAGATTTAAATGGGCTTTGTTGTTGATCTCGCTGAGGAACGGAAATTCAACAACGTCAAAAACGATCGGGATGTTCGTAGACTCTTCCTATTAGATCTCTAATAGGTAGTCACGATTTGAAATCATATTGATTAATAAGAACTTCAACGCATGGATATAGTACGACAGATTTCCTGCAGTGAGGAAGAATGTGATCTGTAAATGAAAGCATCGAAATGTTTTGTTTGTAAAATAAGATTTCTTTTGAATTGTATATTATAATTTTAGCTTTGATATCTAATTTCCAGTAAATATCAATTAACTGTAATAACATCATGTTATAATTAACAGTTACATCGTTAAATTAGATGTAAAATTATAATATTGATATTATGTTACTTTTAGTTAGTTTGTTTATTGATTTAGCTTTATGTATTTTTTTTGTATTTCTCAAAATATGAACAACTGGTGTATTCTCGGCGTTAAATATCATCAAACTCATTTATTTCATAAGTTTTCATATTTATTTTGCCGTATGTCATTTAAATGCGCAGAATTTTCAAAAGACGTAGGGATCGATCTATATTTAAAGTCTAAAAAATAATTTGCACTTCTCTCTTTCCTCACGCAAAGCGCATACGGTCTTCATTTATCACCGTATTTCGTAATATTCATCGTGAGAAATGCATTTCGATGAGATTACGGATAACATATCTGTGAAACGTAGGACGAGTATGTGAAATATTTCAACGTGTGTGAAGATTAGACAAGAAGCGACAGCTCGGGGTTGGTTTGCCCTACTCCTGCCGCCATTGTGCGTCCCTCTTGTTTACGAACGGTGTGCGTAGAGTAACGCGTAGAGAAACCATGTGACTGTAAACACGGAATATGTTTGGCTATGTTCAGATTCCCACCTAAGTCATTTAGATTTTATCCTTGTGTTTTATCGAATGTTAAATCGAATTTTAAGGATAAACTTGGGATACTCGGGTGAAAATCTGAACCCTTAGAGAAGTTAGATATCGTTTCACCGTATAGATAAATTTTCGAAAAGTTGTGTGCATTTTTATTATTCAAGAGGTGATTTAAAAGGAGCAATACATTAAAAAAATTAATATATTAATTAATGTGAATGAAAAAGAGCGAGAGAGAGAGATAAATTAATTTTACTAAATTATTAAAGAATTGAGTCAGACCATTCAAATATCAAAATTCGACGATTTATTTTCTTCACACATTATCATCTATTTTCTTAACACATTATTACGCGCATTTTACTCAACAATGAAACGCGTTTAGCGTAGAAGATAATTCTGTTAGTTAGCTCATTCCAACTCTAAATGAATAATTTATGCTGAGCAGTATTCCAAGAAGATCGCAACGTATCGCATTTATACTCATTCAAATCTACACATTCTGACACATAAGTGCAACACTTGCAGTTTTATATCTAAGAAATATGATGATTCTTCCACGATAAGGCGTCACTGAACTTACACATTTATAGATAACCTGTATATTTATATGAACTTTATACATCAGTCAATAATTATAAAACTTGATATACAAAATTATTCGTAACCAATAATTATCATCTACAAATCTTTCATTTATATATAAAAATTCTAAATATTCCAATGAATAGCTTAGAATAAAAATAAACTTTATTTGTTTTAAAAGTTTATTTGTTATTTTCTTAAAAGAAAATAATAAAATTAAATTTTACGTAAAATATTCAAATGTTTATGTATAATTTAAAAGTTAGTAAATCTATTAATAATAAAATATTATATTTTAAATATATTTATATTTTATTATATATAACAAATGTATCTGTTATATATAAAAAAAAATTATGAGTTAATTAAAAAACAAAGAATTTTTATGAATTAAAAATTTTTGTTGTAACCTTTTCTTACATAAATTACACCAATTACCTTTAAAAAATATATATTAATTTTAAAATCGTTGAACGAAAATCGTTAACAAAAATTATTTTCTAGAACGGATATTTTTATGGAAGATGGATCATATTCAGCTTCCTAGATACCGTCGAAGCGGTATACGATACTGAATATGCATACTCTCTTTACCCTCGATTTTTCGTTCTAGAAATAGAAGTGAATGAGAGCGTCGAGCAAGTGTTTGTTGTGTGAAAGACTTGAGTACATAGTAGTGTCAATTCTGCGGATAATCTAGAACCAGCGACGCCCTGTTTACTCAGTTCGGTAGTATAGCGTAGCAAACGAGGCCTCAGAATATCGTCAAAGATGTATTTTCAGCATCCTTAATTGAATAGGACGACGCGGCACTCATAAATTATTCGAATTTCTAATTAGACCGTCACAGCGTTCCTCCGCGGTGAAGTTTTCCCCGCACGAAGAACGGCATTTTTTGTCAATTTTATTGAGAGATAGAATGCCGATTATCCAAACTCAAACAACATTCCATTTGGTTTCCCAATATAATAATCATAATATACATGTTACAATGTCGTAATCTCTTTTTTTTATGAGACTTTCTGATATTTCAAAACTTGTAATTGACAAGTTGTTTATAACGTATTATTTTTCATCGAGAAAATCACTTCCTTAAAAAATGCAATTAAAAATGCTCCCTTATAAAATACAATTAAAAAAAAAAGATTTTATAATTATTACCATGAATGAATAATCAAGTAAACATTATGCGATCAATCACTAAAAATGAACTAACTTAATTTTGTAAAAAAAAAAAAATAAAAAATTGTTATAATTCAAAAAGAATGATTTAAAAAGAAATTGTCAAAATTGTCGCAACAAAAAGGTGATGATTTTAATTTTTAAAAGAAATTTTAACAAAAGAACAAAAATACTTGATTATGTTAAGAATTTTTTTTTTTTTTTGGACAATTTGATTAGTCAGCAATTTTTTCTTTGGTTGAAAAATAGTCTTTTTTTTTTTTTTTTTTTTTTGGAAAACTTAATTTTTCGGTTGTCACTTCTGAAGAGAGCGATATACTTATCGCATTTCAATATGATAAATAACATTTTCAATTTAAAAAGTATAACAATATTTTTGATACACAAAATGCATAACTCTGTGGCTCGAACTCACGAATTTATTTGAGTATTCATTTTGTGATAATACACATTTGTGATAATTTTTCTAATTGCAAGATTTAATTAAATCGTGCAATATTTTTATAATCAAAATTTTACATTTATATCAATTCTGTAATATATGAAAAATTAATCTTATGTACATTTTTATCTTTATTCTCGAAGTTGTAACGCGGATGCCCGGATTGAGATAAGATAATCGACGACTTGCATTTAGAGTGATTGACCTCTTTTGTGCATCTTAAAGTTAATAGATGCAATCTCGAGAACTTTAAGAAGATAATATACATTATTTTAATAAAACGCAATATTTGTCCTGTTTCGAGCTTAACATTGTTGCACCTATTCGGTCATGATGAATTAATGAGTGTAAACAGTGTATTTTAATCGTATGTAGCCGTTCATTCATCCAACGAAGATCTACGCGCGTTAATGCTCGACTTTGCAAACAATAATCATAAATGTGCCTTCAATTATGTTGCAATTGAGGCGACATATGATTTACGCGTTATTATGCTAGTTATACTACGCGCTACACAGTGCGTAAACAATCGTGACACGTGTAACTTTACGGAAGCCGCGGGGCAATAATTTTACGTCGTGCGACGTAAAATGTTAATAATTTTGTCGAGAGAAACCTAATGAATTAAACTCTAAATAATAAGAAATGATTTTCCTTTCTTAGAGATAATCTGATGTATAATAATTTAAAGAGAGTATTATCAGTGTTTACTTTTTTTTTTCTCGAAATATCCAAAAATTGAGGCGAGAGATTGAAGAAGTTTAAGCGACACTTTTCTAATAAACGCAATTTTTTAATATTCTTATTTATCAGAATTATTTTTTATATTATTTTTATTATATTTATTAGAGTTATTTTTTACTTTCTCTTTTTTTAATTACGCTTTTATATTATTTTCTTTCTTTTAATATTTATCTCAAAATATTTAAATGTTAATATTTTATTCCGAAATTTAAAATAAAATGCTGACATGTGGTATGTAAATCGAAATATTGCCTGCTTTTACATTTTTTTTTCAATTTTAGATGTATTTATACGGAACTCCACGCGCGTGTGTATCATCGAGTGTACTTCGTCGAGTAATATGATAAGAAGATTGAGTAACTCAACATTCCGACGTTCGAAAGTTCTTACGTTATCTAATTTGCCAGCGGAAGTTGTGTTTTTCCAACAATAAGACGAGCATTGCGTGATTTCACATCTCGAGTCTATATGTCAGTGTCTCGGTTTAGACGGTTAAGTCAAGATTCAGTTAAACATCTTTTTGTACTCCATTGAACATCCTCTTTCACGTACGGTTGTTTATCTAGCACGAAGACTTCTCGAGTTATCAGTTTTCCCGTGTCCCAACCGCTTATCTACTACGTCAACTTTGTTGGGCTATTTTCATCCGATATATATATATATATATATACACATACAGAAGAATATTGTATTTTACCAAGGGATGCATGAGAACAGAAAAGTATTTAAAGACAATAAAAAAGAAAGATTTCTCAAAACGAAGGAAAGATGTCTATTATTCAACTAAAAATACTACCTAAAGAATATTACTTGTGGATTTTCACTAGTATACAATATTTTACAGCAAATAGCAACTTTTGGAAATCATGATGGATTTATTGAAAATTATGTGGAAAGTGTTGCAACAACAAATATCGTGATTTTGTTTGGTAAATTCTTTACAACGTAAAAAAAACGTAAAATATCGACCGAACGTTCTTAACAATCGTGTTCTTAATAATTTTAGAGACTTTATAAGAGAAACAAAATTACAGAATGCATAGTCTTTGCACGATCACCATCCAAGTTATCAACTTGAATTAATAAAAAATACATGATGACAGAATGAGTAATATTTCCTTTAGTCTCCCCTATGTGTTTCAAAATATGCAGAATGTGCAGACATATTATATATTTATAAGTGTATTGCATTATATATTACCAGCGAAAATAAGTTGTTGGCGCACCGTTGCATCTACTAATAGAAAGTGCAGTTTAGCAACATTTAAGAAAAAATACACATTTAAGAAGATGGGGGCATATTACTTAGTCTCTTTTATAATTACTTTTCGTTCATTTCTAATAAAAATAAATGAAAAGTAATTATAAAAACAGACTAAGTAATATGCTTCCATCTTCTTGAAATGTGTGTTTTTTTTTTCTTAAATGTTGCTAAACTACACTTCATCGACTTCACTGTTTCTTCTTCTTGGTGTCTAACGAAACCATATAGAAACATCTGCCTCTTCCAGGAAGGTGGTCTCGAGATAATGCCGTATGGAAACGCGTTCTGTACATACAAAGTTGTTGGTCGCCTCCAGAACGAGGACATGTTTTTCTCCAGTTCCCTGACTCGCTCATATATTTCCCTTTTTTTCTCTTTCTTCGTTTCTTTCATTTTGCGACGTATCTCGCCCGGAATTTTTCCACAATGCACCCCATTAAAATTTACGCCTACGAACATCCCGTTTTGTTCCGTTTTTTCCTCGCAATGTCGGACATTGCGAATAAAAAAATTTCTTGCGATATAAAAGTCAGTTTCTTTCGTTCATTCGTTCATTCACTTCTTCCTTCCTTCCTCTGGTCGGCTTTTCTAGTTAGAATTTCTTATCGTAAGAGGAAGTTGATAGAAGAATTTAATCAAAACCGTGAGAGTACATCCGTTTGCAAAGCATTCTCCTCCAAAAGTACACGGAAAAAACGATTTTACTAAAGTATCTAAAAATTTAAGTATAGATACAGATCTAAAAATAATTTTGTTGGACCATTAAAATAATTATTAGAAAACTCATGACGAGCAATGCCGTAAGGTTTTTTTTGATCCTACATAATTATTTTGATAATCCAATAAAATTATTTTTACATTTGTACTGTCTAAATTTTTAAATACTTTTCAAATATTTCAGCACAACCATTCTTTTCGTATATTAATATTCGACGTTATGTCTGTGTTAACATAATACAGCAAAAATATTTTACTAATACAATCATTATTTGATTAAACGTAAAAGTTTAAGGATTTTTATTCGTAACATAAAAGAATGTATTTTGATATTAAATCAAATAACGTTGGATTATCTGTACCCTGTCGACTTTTCCCACAACTAACATCTAACGGCGGCCATGTGTCACAAAGAAATTACGAAGTGATAACAGTATAGTTTATTATTTCCTCTGAATGAAGGCGAGTGCCTTTTTTCGGCATCCGGCTATTCAAATCATTTGAATTATGCCATATGGATCTTTTCTATCGTAATTTCATATCTCTTTGGCCTAATATCTCCAGCTTCCTCTTTTATTCAACTCATCATCACGAATCTTCCGTATGGAAACAACAAAATTCACGCATTCGTGTCAAGTGTGAGATCATCGCATCATTCATAATCAATAGTTTACAGTTTACAAAACTTGTTAGTGAGATCTATTGTGTTTTGAATAAAAAAAAATAGCTTGCCATTAGATGTCGGAAATAACCCATATATTACAGATCAATTTAGCAATATTGTAAAGTTCCAGTAATATTGTAATAATATTGCAACGTTGCAGCAAATTTCTGCATAGAAAGGATGATTTTGCTGAAGCATCTAAAAATTTAGCTATATTTCAAAATAATTTTGTTGGACCATCAAAATAATTACGTAAGAAATTCAAACATGATAAGCAACGCAAACAATTTTGTCATTTTTACCATCGATTTGAGTATTCTACATAATTATTTTGATAGTTCGACAAAATCTATTTTCATATTTATGTGTATCTAAATTTTTAGATTTTTAGCAAAACCATTCTTTCCGTAGAAGATTCGTAATGAAAACGGCTTAATAATCCAATGAGATACGACTAATATATATTTTTTCTTCTTTTGTGGAATTTCACTCTTGAAGTGACACTACCACGGTTTGACATATTTATTTCACAATCAATTACTATCGCTGGATCCGGCGAAGAAAACAAAGGGCAAGGACCCCTGGTGGGGTTTAGGACTTCCCTTGCGCGCGCGTTCACAAGATGTTCCGGAAAGCCGACGATGAGGCCAGTATAGCGGGCTATTATACGAGCGCAGGTGTCGGTGCAGATGTCGCATAGCAGACGGCTTGCCATGATCGCACGTCCTGCTTGTGGTACCGTCTCGAAATTTTAATAAAACGCAAGCAAAAGAGAGAAACGAGCCGGTCCCGTGTATCTGCTTTACGACGCGAACCCGTGTATCGCAAGCGCGACTGTACAAACACTCATGCACGCGCCACGATATCCGTGCTGTGCATCTCGTCCCCTTGCGTATTTTTCGCAATAAATCTTGATATCAATCTGTCAAGGAGCTCATAGATAATCATCAGCGAGCGGAAGTAAAACTCGTTACTTAGATTCGGATTTAGCTATTAGTTATCGCTCATTATTATTATTATTTATAATTCGCATTGAAAATCTTGATGAAAATTTTTCTTAAAATTGTTTATGTTTTATATAATTTTTCAGAATTTTGCTGTAAATTTCAGAATTTTCTAAGTATTTTATAATTTTTTAAAAAAATTTCTCAAAGTTTTTTATACAAATTGAAACACTTTTGAAGTGCCGAGAAAGTCTACATCTTTTCTATAGAATTTCACATATATATATATATATAATTCTAAGAAAAAACATAAACTTTTTTAGTATTTCTGAAAAAGTATTCCAATTCGAATAAAAACTCTGAGAAAAAATCTTTAATCTACATTATTTATTTACATTATTTTTAGTTTTATAAATATAACTTTAAATTTCTGTGTGCAAAAATAATATATTCTTATTTTAACACAAAATTCTTTGAAGATACCTTAGAAATATTACTCTTGAAATTAAAACATGTTAAGGTTTTCTCATTTCCTTTTCCAAGAAATTATTATATTTTCTTACTTCTTATTTCTGTCAATAATAAGAACAAATTTTATTTCAGGTAGAAGTCGAGATGTTGTGATGGCTGGTAGGTCACGACGTTCGAGCACAGAGCTCGAACCGGATTTATCGACACCAACTGCCTCGAAAAGGCCCAAGCAATCCGATTCGTCTGAAGAAAAGCACCTAACAAAAGTGGAAAGTACTGAGACATCGAGCACGAGTGAGATACCTGCACAGACAGAGATCATTTCGGAAGGAGATAAACAACTTTCAGATGTTACAGAGATCTCTGCACAGACAGAGATCGTTTCGGAAGGAGATAAACAACTTTCAGATGTTACAGAGATCTCTGCACAGACAGAGATCGTTTCGGAAGGAGATAAACAACTTTCAGATGTTACAGAGATCTCTGCACAGACAGAGATCGTTTCGGAAGGAGATAAACAACTTTCAGATGTTACAGAACAGGCAACAACATCGAAGCAATCGGTTTTAATCAGTGAAACATCTTCGGAATCGACTAAACAATCGTCTCAAACGGATCCGGATCTCCCCAAACAAAAGAGTGATATCGCATCGACCTCAACGGAAGCGATCCCGAGTACATCAAGAGAAGAGCAGCTCAAGACGTTAAAATCCGTTGTAATGAAGTACAGCGATCAAGGTGAGCTCTCTGCTCCTTCCGGAAGAAGATCAGAAGAGACGACGATACAAAGTTTCTCGCTGCGTGAACGAGCGTCGTTCGAGAATTTGTCCGTTATCGGGAATGGCGCTTACGGGACTGTGTACAAAGCTACAGATAAGAATAGTGGTCAAACCGTAGCGCTTAAGAGAGTCAGGATACCTTTGACGGAGGATGGTCTGCCTACGTCCACAGTAAGGGAAATTGCTGCCTTGAAGTCGCTCGAACAATACGAGCACCCACATATTGTAAGTACCTTTTAATCAAAATATAATTTCCATTATCGATTACGTACTATATATGTACATATATATACTGGTCTTCAATATTTTACATTTCGTTATAAACTATCATAAATAGAATCTTTTATTTATTAATTAATACTATATGTATTACTATTGTAGATATAAGTATATATTTTATATATTTGCTCTTCGTTATCCAGGTCAGATTATTGGATATCTGCCAAGGAGGAGATTATCTTGATGTATCATCAGGTGATGGTACATTCGAAAGACCGGAACATGATATCACTTTTTGGTTAGTGTTCGAACACGTAGAAAGAGATCTCGCTTCATACATAGCTAATTATCGGAATAGCTCGCCCCGATCAAGCATCCCACCGTATCTTGTGAGGCAAATGTTAAAAGAGATACTCTGTGGAGTGGAGTTTCTACACAGCCACAGAATAATACACAGGGACTTGAAGCCACAGAATCTTCTAGTAACGCGGGAAGGGAGAATCAAAATCGCGGATTTTGGTCTAGCCAAGACGTATGGTTTTGAAATGAGATTAACTTCCGTGGTACGTGTTAGATATTAAGTATTACAAATACATTTCTTCTCAATCACAAATATTGTTATTACTATTGTCATTGTTTGATCATTATTTATTTATGTTTATATATATATATATATATATATATATTTATAAACTTTATTTTTAACTATATCATTTTTTAAATATTATTAAATAAGTAATAATTAGACTGCGGATATTTATGCAAAATACTTACTAACAAATACTAACTGAATATTTTGCATAAAATGCATATTTTGCATAAATTGCGTATTTACAGATAATAATCTCAACCTTTTTACTTTATTTTTTAATAACTCTGTAATGAACAACGATCGACTGCTAAAACTGTCCGATGATTAATATTCAGTTAAATATTTTGCATAAATATCTGCAGTCTAACGATAATATATCAATGCATATGATTCAAAGAATAAATAACGTATCAAAAATAATAATAATCGCTTCACTTTCATATTGTACATTAAGGTATGCCGGATAAATTAACGTAAATATTATAAATTTATTTCGCAAAATGTTAGATTGTTACATTTACTGTTAATAACTTAATTACGCAAGGTGTAAAAGTAAGAGATATGTATAATAATTACTATTTAAGCTACTTTTTATGATTCTGTATCATTTAATATCGTAATTAAGAAAATCTTATGATATTCTGTCTAGGTTGTAACCCAATGGTATCGAGCACCCGAAGTACTTTTAGGATGTTCTTATGCTACTCCTGTAGATGTTTGGTCTGTCGGATGCATACTAGCAGAACTTTGCAAATTGGAACCGTTATTCCCAGGTACCAGTGAAGGTGATCAACTGGACAGGATTTTCCAGTGAGTTATACTTTTGGTTTTCTGTTTTCAGAATAAACTTTGTAATACTCTTAATATTTCTTTATGCTATATATATTTTTTTTTTTGGCTCTTTTATTTTAGAGTTTTGGGTACTCCGTCACAGGAAGAATGGCCGGAGAATGTATCTCTCAATTGGAATGCTTTTCCAAACAGACTTCCGAGACCTCTCAGTCTAATAGTACCAGATCTCAATGAAGATGGATTAGACTTAATAAAGAACATGCTCATGTTTGATCCTCATAGTCGTATAACTGCAGCTCAAGCCGTAAGACACCGATACTTTTCCGAGGAGGGCGTACAATGACTATTCCGTAAATTATCTAGACTTATTGCTGGATTATATATATAACTGGCAAACTCAGACTGACGTATTATATTCAGGAATAGAAGTATATACGTGTATACATATATAAGTATATGCGACATTTAAGCGTAGTACAGTATGAATATTATTACATATATAGAATATTAGTACATATATAGAATTACTAATAACGTTGATTATATATTAAATATCTAATTCGAGTATTAACAACTGTGCGTATAAATGATATAATACTATAAATTCAATTAGCACCTAAATTTGTTGCGTCGTATTAAATAGTAGTCATTATACATATTCCTTACTTTTACACCTTGCGTAATTAAGTTATTAACAGTAAATGTAACAATCTAACATTTTGCGAAATAAGTTTATAATATTTACGTTAATTTATCCTAGGCATACCTTAATGTACAATATGAAAGTGAAGCGATTATTATTATTTTTGATATGTTATTTATTTACTGTCTAATGTCTCAATGTTTCAGTCAATCGTCTTTTTATAATAACGTCATGAATTACACTTCTGATTAACTTTTTTTTTATTTCACAGCAGTTATCACTTAATGATTAATAGTTTAATTGTATGCACGACATTTACATTATATTATATAAGATATGCGTAGTTACGGCAAATCCTATTAGAGATACGAAAGCTAATACATAGCTAACTTAGCTTTGATTTAATGCGAAATTAATGTAATTCAAGATAACACTATGTATATTTTTTATAAGTAGAATTATTTTTCTAAGACTGGGGCCTTTGCGACCCATTAGGAATACAGGAATGATTTAAAGATCTTCCAGAGAAAACCAGAAAGCGCACTGCCATACTTTGCATGTACCATGAACCATTGCAATCATTAATAGCGTATTTTTAATAATGTACAATACTGACAATACGTGTATAAAGCAATAAGTGACAATATTTATGTGCCTCTTAGAGTCCATTGTTGTATTAAGACTTCGAAAATAGAATAATCGCATTATTAAGAGAAGACTGTCTTATGAAATAAAAGTTTTATAGTTTTACATGCAAGATTCTGTCTCGCAAGTAATCTCCTCGATGTATCCATCAGCAAACCTTTTGATTTTTTACAATCGTAATGAATACAGAAAGCAGTTTGTTGAAACAAGAAAATGTTCCGATCCGGCAAGTATTCTGGTACATATACCTTTGAAATAATTATTGGATTTATTTCCCCTAGAAAATACAATAAAAATTTACAGAATAAATGAACAATTCCGATTGGAATCCATTCCGAATATGTGATCTATTTCTGACTTTTCAACAATTGTCGAATTTGAAATTCGCGCTTCGATATCTCGATCGTGGCTGCATTGACACGTACGTCGCGACCTTCGGATTGTAATAATGGAATTCAGAGATAAATAAAGCATCGAAACGCGCATGTAATGTACAGTTAACGATATCCGCTTTACAGATTATTGTAGTTGCGACGACGTCACCGACTTTTGACATGAGGTTGCTTTCGAATCTCGTCGTAAATGCATACAAACATCTGACAATAGGTGGCAACCTGCCAGTCTGTTCTGCTAGTTTAAGGAAAATGGCGACTGAGGTGGAGAAGGCACAGTCGGCTGTGCCAAAAGCTGATACGATATTTGGAAAAATATTACGTAAAGAAATCCCGTGCAACTTTATTTACGAGGACAGCCAGGTAAAATTATGACATAACACACAAAATTGTATGTTTGTGTTGAATTACATAGCAAATTCGACCTACCGGCGTTACTTGAACTTTGCATCAGACTTGTTATTGAAAATATTATATATTATTTTTTGCGCGATATTGCTTACCATAACATAAAAAGTATGGCTAAAATGTTTGAATGTGTTTGTAAGCATTAAAATAAATTTACATTATCTCCTATGTATTGCGTTTACTTTTCTATGTACAGCAGAAATTTCATCTAATTATCTGAAATGATTTGTATGTTTATTTATTTTCATCTATATGATTATTATATAACCACTTGTTCCAGTCTACTGAGTTGCATAGAAACTATTAGTTGACTCTTGTTATATCAGAAAACTTAAGAATTAGAATAAATATAGATATAGAGAGGAAATTAATTTTTATATTTTTTTTATTAGTTTTATATATTTTTTTATTTTTTTTTATTTTTTATATTATATAGTGATAGTTTGATTTGGATTAAATAATGTATTGTTTTTATGCGAAATGCGCTAATATTAATTTATTGAATATATTTCTGATTTGATAGTGCGTCGCATTTGATGATATAAATGCTCAAGCACCAGTACACTTTCTGGTGATTCCACGAAAGCCAATTTCGCAACTCTCCAAAGCTCAAGATGAAGATGAACCTTTGCTTGGTCACCTGATGAATGTCGCTCATAAAGTAGCACAGCAAAAAGGTTTGACGAATGGGTTTCGTTTAGTCATCAACGATGGAAAACATGGTGCACAGTCAGTGTATCATTTGCATCTACATGTTCTTGGCGGTCGGCAGTTGCAGTGGCCTCCTGGCTAACATATTTATACATTTAAATGTATAAACCTTGATTTTCATTATGAAGTCTTTACTTTCTGTGAATAAAGTGTTGAAAGTATATGGTTGAAGGGCATTTTGTACAAAAAATATCAATAATTAATTTATGTATTAAAATTATAATTGATAATATCATATAGTAACGTTTTTTCCTTTTATTTATTACAAATGCAGCAAAAATAATGTTTTGCAACAAAAATAATACATTTATAATTTTAATTTAATTGAAAGAAGTAATGTTCTTTCAACTCTTTAGCTACTTCTTTTATACACTTCATATACAAATTCAATTCCTTTTTCTTCCTGTATACCTTGTGGTACCATTGGATCCCTGGAATTATTATTATTAACAAAACAGCAATGTGAAACATATCTAATACAAAGAAACATTAATACTTACTCGATTAACACGAAATCGTTTGGGATAGAAGGAAAGAACGTATCACATTCAAATTTTTTCTTTATACGCGTCAAATACAATCGTCCAAAGTGCGGAGATTCCATGGCACTCTAATAAAATTATACAATAATTGTTACATTTAATTTAAATTTGTATTATTATTAACATTTAAATTTTTGTTGCAGTATCAGGTCTGTTCTTTTAATCACACTTTCTATTCTTCAAATTGTTTCTCTTTCTTTTAACTTTGAGTCACAAATACTTGATACGTTTCACATGAAGTGAACAGAATCTATACTGTTGTGCAACCGAAAAGAACAGATCTTTTACAAATGTATGTATATTGTATTAATTTATCGTACAAAGTACCTTATACACGTTACTTCCTCCTATTACCCATACCCTTTCTACTTCATTCTGCATTCCTGAAATTACGTCAAGCGCATGTGGTATACTTTTACATACTATCGCATCATCTCCATAATCCCTAAAATTGATATATGATCTATTGTTTTCTTTGAAATTAAATTTTGTTTGATATTTGTTATTTTGCCCATAATTACAATAATTGCGAAGTTAACACCATATTTATTCGGTCCTTCAGAGGTCGATACTTTTCGGGGATGCACTCCCATGTGCGTCTACCCATAAGTATGACGTTCCTTTTATTTTTGCACATTGTGTTAGTTGTCATGCGCGTGAAGTACGCCATTTCCGTCCTACGTACGAATCACTCGTTCAAGTATTCTCTCTAAATTAATTATTAATTAAGTATATTTATTCATCTTACTTTAAACGCCAAGGCAAATCGCCATTTACTCCAATGCCCATATTTTCGCATGCTGCGGCAATTAATTCCAATTTAGGTGGCATGTTAAGATGCAGTCTTGAATAAATCCGGTGCAATGATCCTAAACACACATGGCATTATTCAATTTACGCTTGTTTAAAAAAATCGTGATGAACACTTCAATTGGAGTTTTACTGCTGCATTGAAAATATTAATTCGTGAAAAAATCGCGGAATGTTGATTCTTCGATATGATTGCGTTTTTAATAATAGCGATAAGGAACAATTACGCAGATGTATCAGCGATTATAAATTGTAATGAAGTCTCTTTTTAATTTTTACATTGTCAAGTAATTTCAAGGATTAAGATTCCTTTCACTTTATCAATGCCAATAATATAAAATTGCTGTAACTCGAAGAATTGTTTTTAAAAATATAAGCTCTAATTGTAATTATAAAAAAAATTTATAAATTATATTTACAGCAAGTATATTTTAAGAAAAAGTCATTGTATTCAGAAAAATGAATATGCTGATATTTTTGTTTCAATTCTCGATTTTCTATCAGATATTTTTTTATTTTATATTAAAAATCCTTTTGGATTCTACAGAAGATGCTGATATCAGCAAGTACTCTACATGATTCTTATTATCATGTTTTGACGTCAAACAAATTTTTTGATTAAAATTCCATTACTTATGCAAGCTAATTAAATAAAATAATAAATAAATTATGTGAACAAAAGATATAAATTGTTTCAATGTTACCACGTTAAATCTTTCAATTAATTATCTTGATAAGAATCTTATTTGTTTATTCTACTTATTTACTTTATCACCGCTCTGCTGATTATCACGAAGGAAACTGTTAACCGACTAGTGAGACTAACAGTCGAGCTGTTCGAGAACTCTGTTGTGAATATCTTGTCCCCACCATTCTGTTTTGGAATTATTGGGAGAAACGTAAATATTTCTTTTAAAGAAGTGTCAAAATATTTGATGCCATTCTTTTTCTGGCTGTGTTTTTCTTTATTTCCTAAATGGTTTAAAAAGAAAGAAGAATAATTTTCTGTAGCACAGCGTATAATATAATAAAGTCTATTCGTTTTAGCTGAATTTTTTTTATATCATTCATCTTTTCTTCTCTTTTCTACAACGTGAAGAAAAAAAGAAGAAAGGTGAACGATGCGAGAGGAGTTTAGCTGAAAAGAACAGACCAATAATGGAAGAAGAGAGAAACTTTTAAACTAGGGGACTTAGAGAATTGGGACTTGTCCCAATAATAACGTCAATACTACCAACACTCGAATTTTGGACAAAATGAAAGAAGGGAGAAGATACATAAATTTTTTGTAATAATATTTAACATTTATGTTGTTATTCAGAGATATAAATGTTAATCGAATGTGATGAGAAAGAGACTTGCACACTCAAAAGAGATAATTCAAACAATCCCGATCAAATTTGTTTGTATAAAAAATATATATACACTTACTTGCATATTTATAACTGTTAAAGTTGAACAACATTGCATCGAATTCTTAAACCGATTCCAAGTACGATCTTTGTTCATTAAAAGTTGATGTGTGTGTCGTAATCTGATATGAATCTGATGAATCTTAATAGATTATTTCGAACAATGAAGTAATTATTTTTTATAAAAACCACAAGTAATAGCTGTTTTTTATAACTTCCTTACACTTTCTGGAATTAAAATGAAAAATGCATGTAAAGCTCTTTAGAGTATAGAATGTAGGACAGAATTCTATTTACAATTTAATATGTCATATTTCTGACGAAAATTTTTCCTAAAACTTTTATACGATTTGAAACACTTTTTAGAAAAACTGAAAAAGTTTACAACTTTTCTTATATTATATATATATATATAAATTGAAATATTCTAAGACTTTCTATACTTCTCATTCTGTAATTTTTTATGAAATTTATAAAATCTGAGAAAACTTAAGATTTTAGAAAAAAATAAAACGTTTCAGAATATTTCAGATTAATTCGAATTTTCATTTAATGAAAATTTTAGAAAAGTTGTAACTTCATCGAAAGTGTTCGAATTTATATAAAAAAAACCTAAGAAATTTTCTAAAAAGTTATAAATTATTTCAAAACTCTTAAATTTACATAAAAATTTTGAAAATTTATATGAAAAATTCTCAGAAAAATTCACTAGAGATATTTTTACGCATATGTATTGTATATTTGTGTGTAATTCTTCGGATATTTTGTATATTCTACAAGTTTAGTTCTATTTTAAATTCTGATTCGAATTATAAATAAAAAGTAAAAAGAGAAGAAAAATGATAGAATAGAAAAGTAATAGACTATCTATTTAGCAGTTAGCAAGGAACAGACCTGAGATCGCCGAGCTTCGAATTCACGGCTTGCGGCAGCACAATCTGTGCGATTAGCTCGAGAAAAATTTACCGTACAACGGCATTTGTTAATCTTCATCAGAACGAATTTCGAAATCTGTCGTGCCTCGTTCGTACTTCGCGATCTTGTCTGGAAATTGAGTACTGCTGCAAGTAAGTGGAGTACTCCAATACTGACAGAATTCCACAATCTAGTAAGAGTGATATTTGCGTAGTATGTGTATGTCGCTGTTTCATAAATATATTATATATCTATAACTTTTAAGTATTTTTTATATATTTGAACGAATTATGGATTTAATTTTGTGATAATATTAATGACACAGCTGTTAACATTGTTCATCGCTTATTGTAAAATACTTTGTCTGTGATTTGATTAATTTCCGTTTCTGTGGAGGTTATATTGATTTATAATCCAAAAATAGTTACCTGAGAAGATTTTTTTATAACCAACAATGAAATTCGATCAGTTTTTATTTGTTTTCATTGACATATATATATATATATATATATATATATTTTTTTTTTAAATGTTTTTTTATGTTTATTTAGAAAATGTTGATTAAATCTACGTAATGATTTTAAATAAATTATAGAATAATTAATATATAATTAATCCTAACTATGAACACATTAAGGTCTCAAAAACTCCAGTACAATTTGCTAAATCAAAATTTTTTTCGTGTGTTTAAAATTTCTTTTTCTTTGAATTTGTATACCTTAAAGATACTTTAATCTATCGATTTTTATATATTATATACTTATTTCTTAATCAATTCTACATTGATTGGAAAAAAAAATTAATTGAAATATGTCCATTTTTATGCAAGTTACGATAATATAAATATAAATAAGATCCCAAGAACCTGAATGTGTATATCAGTGTATACTAAGGGTAAAAAGAAAAAATGTGTATAGCTATGATTAATAATAATGACTTTTAACTGGGAATGTCAAGATTATCCCAGATAATCATCTACACAGTAAACAATTAAATAACTTTTTGGATACAATGTTAGAGCTATGTATCATTTTTAATAAGCGATAATCAGACACAAGTGATTAATTTTTATGTACTTTAGAATGTCTGGTCGAGAAGGAGGTAAGAAGAAACCCTTGAAGGCACCAAAGAAGGAAAGCAAAGTTTTGGATGATGAGGATGTAGCCTTTAAACAAAAGCAAAAGGAAGCACAGAAAGCTTTGGCTGAGGCAGCAAAGAAAGCCAGTCAAAAAGGACCTCTGGTCACCGGCGGCATAAAAAAATCTGGGAAAAAATGATCGTAGTAATAGATAAAATATGTGATCTACTGTGCCCATAAATGTTCCAATTGTAACAATGATTTTGAACTTGATCTTATTGTTACGCCAGACTGCAATTTTTTTTGACGACCTTTATTTCTGAGAGAACTTTTAAACTTGTAAATATAATATTATAGATGTGTTCTCCACTAACTTTAAAAAAATGAATACAAGTCTTGTATAATAGCATTTATCAAATACGATTTTATATGTTTCACGTCAAATATATTAATTTAAGAGGGAGCAAAATAAAGAACACAAAGATCTCTAAATCTAGCAATAAAAAATCCTTACGCTTTATATACTGTTAACATAATTATTGTTATAATACTATTTGATATTCTCAATTATTGCTTTAGTTTAATATTAATAAAGGTATATATATATATATATATATATATATATATATATATATATAGAGCATTATTATGTCAAATTTTCTGATTTTTATGACAAAGATTTCAGCTAATAAAAATCTAGAATTTTATTAGATGATTATTATCTTATGAATACCGTTAGATGACTACATTTGAAATGCTAGTTTTGGCAACACTGGTAGCAGGTGATTAATCGCCGCTACTGGTTAGTGCGAGGAACTAAAATACAAAAACTCAATTCTAAATGTGTATTTAAACTTAATTATTTTTCCAAATGTGAAAATTTCACATTATTAGCAATGATGTGGAAAACGTCAGTTGTCATCGCGTCAAATCGTTTATTTCCTGGTTTGGCATATCACGATCGAAAAAAGGAATTTTATGATATAGGTATGCATCTTGCATTCTGCATTGTTATTGGTAGCAGTTGTTGCCATGAGAAACGATAATAGTAAAAATTTACGTCACTCTAACTGATCTATTATCGCCATTCAATTTAATATTACAAATTAATTTATAATTAATGTATTAATGACATTTTTAATATATTGTTCGAAGATTTAAAACATAACAATAGTATTAAAATTAATCAAAGATAGTATTAAAATTAATTAATTTTTTTATTACAAAACTAACTATTGAATTTTAATAGTTGCGGAAACGCGCGTAATTTCTAATAAATTTTGAAACTTTCGTTACAACTTTAATAAAATTTCTAATTTTACTAGTTTAATAATACACCTAATTAAATTTTTTGCATTACTTTTTTGCATATTTATATATTCTCTTATATATGTTTATCATTCATTATTTGCTTTATACAGGAAATCAGATACAATCCAATTTGCCCCTCCAAATGGCATTGTATTTTAATGTATGGATGTATCCCGTATGGTTTTTTATAATATTTATCAATTTAGATGCAAAAGTAAATATGTATCAAAACAGTAAAATTTTTTACAAAATTTGACAGACAAAGAATACAGATATTATTTCTTATTTTACAGTACTATTATTTGACAGATGTATACAAATTTATAACTGTAGCCGTATTTATTATTATATCAGTATTGGAAGGTATACGGCTGTATTTGGGATATCTTGGGAACCTAGCAGAGAAGGTAATTTATTTCAATAAGATATATAGATAAATTAGACGAATTGTTGTTAGGGGATTGAAGGTATTCTCTTAATCTCTATACAGATTCCAGAATTGGCAAGCTTTTGGCTGATATCTACTCTCATACATTTTCCTTTAGAGATGTTCCTTCTCTTCGATAGCAAAACCAGACCTCATTTTAGTGAAATAATTATTAACAGTATTATGGCGTTTCTGCTCGTTACAGAAATTATAACAGCTACTGTAGCTTTAAAGAAGTCAGCAGACCATCATGCTAAAAGGTTTTATGTTGCACAATTATATGGGATTGATGATAGTAGACATTGATTGATATACATTACTTATTGCTTTCAATTTAACAATAAAATATTGCATTATTAATATAATGCTAAGACTTAATGGCTGCCTACGGAAACGTCGCTCCGAATGCAGTCAATGTAATATGATATAAATGATATGTTACATTTGAATAGAAACTAATTTTTGTACTTGAAATCTATAGAAATGTAATATAGATATAAGAATTTATGATTTTATGCTAATAAACATGCATAAAATTTTTTAGCTTCGTTGTATCTTCTTTAATTTTAAATATAATCTATCTTTTCAGGCAGTATTTTCTATAAATAATAATTAGATAATAATATAACTAGATAATATAATTATAATTAGATAATAATAATTACTAAGTAATAGAAGATATAATATTGAAATTATAATTTTTGAATTTATAATATTGAACTCTAACATATTTTATATTATACTACAGTAGTCACTTCTAGATTATGATCATTATAAAACGTTTTTAAGGCTATTATATTTTTCCTTAAATTTATTAAGAATAATTCCATATTACTTAAAGTAATTTCTTCTCTCCCTATTTCTCCATCGGCTAATGCTAATAGGAGCTGCGAACGAGAAGGCGTCATACGTGACAGGAGCTGTAACAAAACCAATATTTAAACACTATTATAATTTTTGTAAGTTATTAACTTATAGACATATATAGAAAAATATATAGTTACATTAAACAACTGTTGGGCCAACCAACCATGATATGGTTCTAAAGTTTCTTTGTACGCTTCTCTCAGGAATGCGACCAAATCTTCTGTTGCTTCCCCAGTTTTATGTGTCTCCACGATTCTTTCAAAGAATAGTAAAATCAGATGTAAGGCTCTAAAACATTTAACAATCATTAAATAAAAATGTTTTATATGCAAAAGTATGTATCTGAAAGAACTAGTAGATTTAATAATAGCAATAATGTATACAGCACAGAATAAATAAATATCCACATTTTTGATCATTGGGGTTTCAGGCCTAACAATAATTTTTGTGTGAATTCCATACTTTTTTTATATATATTCAATTATGCACTGATTACTCTTCTCGACTTTGAAACATGTGATAAATTTATAAATATAATTTCATATACAATTGATAGATAATTTAATATTATTTTATTTATTTTATTAATTTTATATTATTAATTCTCACAAGTTGATGGTGGGTCTATTGAATTCATTTAATTATAAATCTCTGTCAAAAATATATATCAACTCAATTTTTTTTTGTTACATCAGCAAATTGGATTATTCTTATTAGAGAATATATACTTAATATTTTTAAATATACTTTATTATTAAAATATATTAGGTGTAGTAAAAAGAAATCCATTATTTTTACTACACCTAATACTTAGTATTATTTTCTCTTTCTTATACAAGTTACATTATTTTGATTCCTTGAAATTAATTAGTGCCTTTAATTAACATAATTTAAATAACTCTTATAGATCAAGCATAAGTGACTAATATTAGCTCCGAAGAATGAGCATTGGAAAAAAATTGTTGCAAAAGATAAAACTTACAAAAATAATTGTTGTGTATAATTAACTATGTCAAATAATAATGTGTATAATTAACTATGTCAAATAATTATTATAATTTTGTCCAATGACTGAAAATGTCAGCATTTGCAACTACATGTTTAATAACCTTCTTAACCACATTAAGGCATCAATTGCAATGAGGTCCTTTTCAGTAGATTTTTCAAGCAAAATCATGTCTTGTAAGGTCGAGTTAGCTGTTTTATCCATACAGTATCTAGTGGTAAGCTTCTGTAAATAATTTAAAAATGTAAAATTCAAGTTCCATAAAGACTGTTAATAAATAATACTGTTCTTGTGAACTTCTTGCTTAACTTACATCAATGTTGCCTTGCATGTCATGCCGTACGGGTGCAAATAATTTGCCAAATTTATCTGAAATACAAATTTGTTTCTGTCGTATATCATGTTGTATTTAAAACAAGATTAATTTGCGTGATCAACAGCGATTTGATTTCAATTCCTTGGATAACTTTGAGGTTAAGATCGAAAGTAGGTACATACCAACTGTCCGCACGACATCGCGAGCGGCCTGCAAGAAATTCTCGGTGTCTATCTTATCATCGATTATTTCAGGAAATTGTAGTTTGTTATCAGTTTCTATTATTGCACAAGTATTTTTCTGAACGATTGAATCGGAGGATGACATGATTTACTTCAAATACATACTACTCATACATGCGTCATACTTTGAAATAACGTTACTATATTGTTATCTTCGGGATTCTAGATAAGATTCAATTTTTTAAAATGATTTATTTTAGAAAAAAAATTCGATATCGGTTGACCGTCATCACCAACAATATTCTATGTGATATCATCATTTGCAATAAGATTATTTGCATATTTTTTAAATACTTTATTACGTTACATTTTTGCAACACAAATTACGATATATATATACACACACACACACACACACACACACACACACACACACACACACACACACACACACACACACACACTCACACACAATATATATACATACATTCAGGATACAGACAAAAATTATATATAAGGTGTCCTATTTTATTTTAAACAGTTAAATGATATCTTGAAAAATATATATATATGAAAGATACGAAAAAACGTTTCAAACAAAAATTGTATAATTTGAAAGGGCGCAAATAATAAAATAAATTTTTAATATAAAGTTATATGAATGCCATTTACCACATATTAACTATGTAAGCTTATTTCATTAAGGAGAAATAGGTAAAAAAAAGTTATTCATGTTTCTAATTAACTTTGTATTTTTAATTCAGTACATATAGATTATTTTTGTCAGTTTGCCGGGATTGATGGTACAATATTGTCTCAGTAATTTTTGGTTCACTAGCTTAACTTATTAAAATAATTTAGGATATAATACTGTATATATTATATATGCTTAATCGTTTGAATGCTGAAGATGATCGTAAAAATCCATGCGAAAAACTGTTTAGCGATGCATTCGCACTTCTCCTATTTCATGTCGAAAAATGTTTATAAGTGTTGTGATAAGTAAAAATAAAATTTACTGTATGTATATTTTTAAAATCTATTTGTAATTAATTGAAAGAAAACATTTTGACTAATGCTTAATTCTAAAAAGAAATCCAATCGGAATTGATTATCAGTTGCTTGATACTTTTCAACAAGAAAGATGAGAAGTATGATCGTGCTGCGTGGCAGCACTCAAACGGTTAATAATATATAAATGCCCTGACGACTTCTAGTCTAGGCTAGAACTTATGTCAATTGTCTTTTTAAAAATTCTACTTACGTAAGTGTTTAATTACTCTCTAAAAACTTTTAAGAGTGATTTTTACTCTAAAAGAATAAAATCTCACTTTTAAAAATTGAAAATTAAGTCACTCTTTTTCAAGACTGTCTCAATTTTTACTCTTTAGAGTTTAGAGTAAGATTCCTCTCCAAAATATCAAGCAGCAAACTGATGTTATTTATCGTCATTTTAGACGTAAAAGTGTCATTAAAGATACATTAAAATGATGATAAATAATATCAGGTTGTTACTTGGAAATTGAGAGAATATATGATAAGATTCTATACGAAATATCCGTAACGTATATAATTATCGAGCACTTCCAATACCTTATATACTAAATGTATATACTCCTCGTTTGTAATACTCATTTGTGCACGTTACGGATATTATTAATTAATTATTATGTTTTCATTAATAGAGATTAAGACTAGAGCTCGAGGAACGCTAGAGACTATTGTTACAAAATAAATTATTATAATAATAGTTCCCTGCATATTCGACAACATGGAAAGAGTTGTACATGAGCAAGATGTGTTATCAAATATTTCATTTGACTACATCATCATACATTGTTATATAAAATCCATATCATCTCTATGTCAGTTACATATTTGTTTGGCGCATTCCATATTTCAGGAGGCCATTTAAAAATAAACTGTTTAGGATTTTTTTAATGAGCATGAAAATATGTTAGTATATAGATATTGTATAAGGTTGTATTATAGGGTGCATATATTATATAATATTAAAAAAAATAATTATTATATGCCTTGCATCCAAGATGTTGAAGGTAATCGTTTTTTTGTTTTAACATTTGTAGCTAAAATTATAAAGTATACAAAATTTTTATATGCATACACTTTTTAGAATTTTGCCTATATTGTCAGATAAAAATGTTGATCTAAAAGTACAGAAAAAGTCCTAAAAAATTCATGTATATATATATATTAAAATTTTATAATTTTATAATTATAGCTACAAATGTCATAAAGGAAAAATTTCTTAAAACGACTATCTCAATATCTTAGAAAGTATACTTATATTTTTGACATTAAACATTATACAATATGTACACTAACATGTTTTTATAATCATTTAAAAAATTCCAAGTAGTTAATTTTTAGGTGGATCTCTAAGGGAGCGTTTATATTGGCCGTAACCGTATGCCATAATCTGTAAAAATTGACCGATCTTTCGAGTATTTTCTTTTTATAGTGGAATGAGAGAGGAAGACTCGACTGTGATTAGTCAATTCTTAGATTACGACATATGATTACGGCCAATATAAGCGCTCCGTAGGAACGTACCATGTACAGTAAATACAAGCTTTTATTTGATTCTCAGCTATACAAATATATTTGTCAAAGTATAATTTATAACATAAATATCTAAAAATTCCACTCTGTTATTAAAATTATTTATATGGAATAGAGCGTAATAAAACATTAAAATAAATTTATTAAATAATGTGATATGAGAGAAAGTTTTTCAAATTTGATGTGCAAATTGCTTTCATTCTAGCCGAAATCGTATTTGTATTTTTAGAAGCAAGGGATATATAATGGCAGTATAATACTTTGATTAATAATTTTAAACGCAATGCGATCACCGTGAGGTGTGTGTGTGTGTGTATGTGTGTGTGTGTGTGTGTGTGTGTATCTGGACGATTATAACTCTTATTCTCATATTAAACAGAAATTAGAAATTTATATTAAAAAAAAATTAAACATAAAAATTAAATTGTAAATATCTTCGCAGTTCATTTTTCAAATTTTTATTCTCACTCAGTATTGCATTTATTACGTATATATATATATATGTATATATATGCGTCTAAAAATATCTTACTTTGTCTATGCAGATTTATCAATAAATATAATTAGCGCATGAGATATCAATAAAAAATTAATTTTTCTATACATATTTAATTAAAATACTTAAATAATAGACTTTAAACGAGGAACAAATAAAAAATATAACATCTTTGAATAATTTACAATATGTATATTAAGCCAGTATTGCTTACGAACTGTAACAATCTTCGCCGGACTAGAAAATAAAATTATGCATCATTGTTTCTGCTGACCTTTAAAAGGCAGTAGGAAGAGGATGTTTGAGCACATTCCCGGTGGAGTCTTCGGCAACAAGGGTAAGAGTGATGAGGCAGTGGGATGGAGGTGGTGGAACTAAAGCTTCCAAAGGTGGTCGTAAGCCAGGAAATTGGCGAGAACCCACAACCATCCCACCCGATGTCTCTCTAAGCTCTATTACTCGTACTCCATATCGTGATCTTACCACATTCCTTATAAAGAAAAATCATAGTTATTAAAAATAGTTATTTGAATTTATTTGATTTTATTACTGACATAGAGGCAGAGTAATAAATAATTTAAGAAGAAATTAATGGGTCGCGCGTGAAAAGGTCGTTTGATGTTTAATCAAACGTCATTTATATTGTCACATAAAACGAGAATGTATCATCGATAATAACTCACCTTTTTCCATCGTATTCTATTTCGTGATGATGCCTATTGGAACGATTGTCCATTTCGCTGTTAAACCAGCGATGATACGCAAGTAATGCTGCACATGATGGACCCCAGAATGTTCGGTCAGGCTGTGAAAGAGGTTCGGAGGCGATCAGACT